GGAAGTGTTGACCTGCATGGTCGACTTCATAGATTAACAACGATCCCAGTACAGCATAGCGACTATTGGTACACGAGCCCGCACGCGCAGCGTCTAGTGTGGCTCGGATCAAAAACCCTCCTTCTCCTTGGCAAGACTGACGGCGGCAATGCGATCGCTGAGCTCCTTGAGCTGCGAACGGAGAGCGACCAGCTCGTCCGAGGTCGAGGGGTTCGAGGATGGGGTGGGGTTGGGTGGAGTGGCAGTGGACGCGGCTGCTTGCTGTCCTCGCGGGGGCTTCTTGCAGTTCCGCTAGATGTGGCCCTTCTCACCACAGTTGAAGCAGGACCGTTCCTCAGGTCCACGTCGGTCCGCTGCCACTCGTTCACCACGGTGGCCCCAGCCCTTGTTCTTGGGCATCGCCTCGGCGCGTTCGGCCAGTTGCTGGTCCATGCGCAGGGCGACCTTCTGCGCCCCTTTTCCAGTGTGTTGACCTCGTGCGCCGTGACCGCGAACTCGTTCTGGATCTTGTACGGCAAACCATCTATATAGTGTAGAAGTTCGTGGGGAAAGAAGATGATATTATGGGCGATCCGAGTAGCACTATAAATACATGTACTAGATAATAGCTATTGTACGTAGGATCTGAGAGAGAAAGCCAAGTGGCGTAATGGCCATTAAAAGGCCATTGTGTGAGTGCAAAACAAAGTGTCGTACCAAGCGCATTATACTACAACACTCCCCCTCAACTCTGCAGCAGTAAGATGCCGAGTTGCGTCCGTAAGGCTTGAAAACGATCGGGCGGGAGGGCCTTCGTGAACATATCGGCCGAATTGATGTCCGTTGGACAGTATTCAAGACGAATCGTATCGGCTGAGATGCATTCGCGGATGAAATGATGCCGAATGTCGATGTGTTTTGACCTTGAATGCTGGACATTGTCCTTCGACAGCTCGATCGCGGACTTGTTGTCGGCCTTGAGAGTAGTAGCGTCCCGTTGCTCGCAGGTGAGTTCTGCGAGTATAGCGCGCATCCAGATCGTATGCCGCGCTGCGTATGCAACAGCCATATATTCCGCTTCCATCGAGGAAAGCGCGATGGTGGTTTGCTTCTTCGAACTCCAGGCTACGACCGCATTTCCGACGAGGAAAGCGTAACCAGAGATTGGGCGGCGGTCGTCCGGGTTGGATCCCCAGTCGGCGTCCGAGTACCCTTCGAGGCGAAGGTTTTCGTAGTACGCGCGAAGACGCGGTTCGCCCTTGCCGGTGTAGTTGATGCTGTATGTGTGGGTCCCCTTGAGGTATCGGAAGACGCGCTTGACAGCGGTCCAGTGCTCAGGACCAGGGCGCGAGCTGTATTGCGAGAGGGCCTGTACGGCGTAGCTAATGTCAGGGCGCGTTCCGAGGGCAGCGTACATGAGGGAGCCGATTGCGGCTTGATAGGGGACGTCGCGCATGCAGGAGAGGTCGGCGTCGTCTGGTGTCTTGACAAGCTTGACGTTGGGGTCGAGCAGCGTACTAACCGGGTTCGCGTCGGCCATGCCAAAGCGTTCCAGTACACGGAGGATGTACTGGGACTGTGATATCGAAAGAGAGCGAGCGCGACGGTCACGCTTCACCTCCAGTCCGAGCAACAGGCTGGGCGAGCCCAAATCGGTGAGTTTGACGTGCTTGGAGAGACCGGCAGCGAGCGCGTCCAGGAGTTCCGGGCGATCGGCCATGGCGATCATGTCGTCAACATGAACTCCTACAAAAATTAGCCCATGCCGCGACTCTTTGACGTACACGCAGGGGTCGGAGTTCAGGCGTCTGAACCTGAGCTCGCCTATAAGGAGGCGATTCAAGTGGAGGTTCCACTTGCGGCCGCCTTGCTTGAGACCGTAAAGCGCCTTCTTGAGCCGTAAGACCTTGCCTGAGTCGTCCGAGTATCCGGGAGGTTGCCGCATGTAGATTTCCTCGTCCAGGTCGGCGTTGAGGTATGCGCCGACAATGTCGAACTGGCGCATCTCCATGTCGCGCTCCGTGCCAATGGCCAGGAGCAGGCGGACGGAGTCCATTCAGATAACGGGGGCGAATGTGTCGAATACGTCCAGTCCGGGGACTTGAGAGAACCTCTGAGCGACTAGTCGGGCTTTGCGCTTGACGTTCCCCTCGAGATCGGTCTTGAGCCGATAGACCCAGGTGCAGCCGACAGGCTTGCGACCGGGTGGAAGCTCGGCCGGGGTCCAGGTGCCGAGAGCGAGGAGCTGGGCAATCTCGGCATCCATAGCATCGCGCCAGAGTTGCGCGTCGGGTGCCGATATCGCTTCGCGGTATGAAGCGGGCTCGCTGGCGGTGGGCGTACCTGTGAGCGTAAGCAAACACAGGTAAGTGGTCTCCTAGTCTCCAACCAGCTGCTCGACCTCATCATCATCTGCGGTCGAGTCGGCTGAGGGATCGCGTACGGGAGGCTTAATGACCTTGCCTTTACCGTCCTCAGCTGCCTTGTAGTCGAGACGAGGGAGATTGCGCAGAGCGCGACGTTCAGCCGTCTGGGGGACAGCCTTCGGCGCTGGTTTGATGGGCGGTGACATCGGCAATTTTGCTGCGACGGGCGCATCAGCCGGTGGTTGCTGAGCAACCTCGGGCGCGCTGTCTCCCCCTGAAGCCAGCTCGCCACTACTGCCATTCTCCCCCTCGAGCGGCGGAGGGGAACTGAGCTCGATGAGCTCGAAATCGTCATTGTTGTCCTGTTGCACGTGCTTCGGGACAGCAAAGATGATGTTTCGCGACTTGCCAATGCGTCGCGACTTGGGGTCATAGAACCGCCAGCCTTTCGTGCCAGGCGCCATGCCCATGAAAAAGGCGGGTGCTGATCGCGGATCGAGCTTGGTGCGCTTGGCGCGGTCGATCAGGACCCAGCAGCGTGTTCCCCACTCCTGTAAGTCAGACACGTCCGGTTTACGACCGGTCCAGACTTCCTCCGGGGTCTTGTCCTTCAGTGCGCGAGTGGGGGACCTGTTTTTAGGTAGACGACGTGAGCGACGGCCTCTGGCCACAAGAACTTCAGAAGCCCGGCTTCGATGATGATCGCCAGGGCGCGATCCATCACCGTCCGATTTACGCGCTCCGCTATCCCGTTTTGGGCTGAGGACTTAGGCGCCGTCGTGTGCAATGTAATTCCCTTGGCCTTGAGGTAATTCCGGAACTCGTCGTTGATGTACTCCCCGCCGTTGTCGCACCGTACGGCCTTGAGGGTTACGCCGTGCATGTTCTTCACCTGTGCCTGGTACGCCTTGAAGTGCTCGAGCTCACCGGTCTTCGTTTTGCAGAATTCGACGATCGTCCGGCGGCAGTGGGCGTCAGTGAATGTCGAGAAGTACTTCTCGCCGCGAATGCCGGTCGTGGGTGCCTTTCCCCACAGATCCATCACGGTGAGATCTCCGATGGCCTCAACCTCCGTCTCTGACCTCTTTGGGTACGGGGCGACAGTCTGCTTTGCCCGCACGCAGGCTTCACATTGCTCGGAGGGCGGGACTGACTCGTCCACCTCCATTCCAGTCACCAGCCCCTTGCGCTTCATCGAGATGACCGCCTTCATCCTGATGTGGCCAAGGGTGCGGTGCCATTCGTCGTAGGTACGCAGCCGCTTCGGGCGCACGATGGCGGCCGCACATGCGGTCTCGGCGGGGCGCCCAGGCACCGCGATCGCGCTCATGACGCAGAGGTTCCCAACGCGTACCCCGGACGCGTAGACCCTCCCCTTAGGGTTCTGGAACTCGATCGTGCCTGAGCCGATCCGAATCTGATGGCCTCCGGCCTCCACACGGCCTAGCGCAATCAGATTATGGGGGATGCCGGGAGCGTGGACGACGTCGCGGAGGATAGTCACAGTCTTGCGCCCTTCGTGCTGGAATTCGATACTGACATTACCAACACCCAGGATAGGTGTGGTTCCCGCCCCCTTGAGCATGCGGCCCGGGGTGGGCTTGTACGTCGTAAAGTCAGCTCACGATCGGGCCACGTGTACCATAGTTGCCGAGTCCGAGACCCACGCGTCAGCGGCGACCTGTGCCACGAGCGCTACCTCAGGGTCCAGATCCGGATCCTCGATTTCCTCGAGCAACGCATAGGCATACTCGGAATCGCTGTCCTCCTCCTCGGCTGCCAGAGCCTTGGGCCCGTTCTTGGCGCCCTTGCCCTTCCCCTTCCCTTGTGCCTGCCCCTGCCCCTGTCCGCCATCCATCTCCTTGTTCTTCGTCTCGTGGTTGGGACAATCCCGCTGGTAGCCAGGTTTCCCGCAGCTGAAACACTTAGGCAACTTCTTCTTCTTCTGCTTTGCCAGTAGTGTAGTTTCCGAATCGTTGAGGCGACTTGCGTGTTGCCTAATCCGGGCGATGACCTCATCGGAATCCTTCAGATCGGTCGCGTGGTTGATCGCCGAGACCATTGGGTCCCAACTCTCCGGAAGCGCCGTAAGAAGTGTGATCGAGAACTCCTCCTCTGATAGGTTGTGATCGAGGCAAGCGAGCGACTCACGCGTGTCAACCATGGCTCGCAAAAATTCTTCAACGTCTTCTGAGTCTGAGTAGCGCGCTTGAAGCAACTTGCAACGCAACTGGACCACCCGTAGGATCCCTTTCGGCTCGAAATTCTTCTCCAGACGTTTCCACGCGTCGGCACTTGTCGTGCAGTGCTTGAGCGAGCTTACCAAAGCCTTGCTGACGCGCATCCGGATCGCCGATAGGGCACTTCGGTCCTTCGATGCCCATTCGTCGATAGCCTTCTTCTCCGCCTCGGTCGGGGTTTCCGCGGCCGACTTTGGTTTCTTGCTAACACCTGCAACGTAGTCCCACAGCTTCGCCTCGTATAGGAGGTCCTCCATCTGGACCCTCCACGACGGCCAGTCCTCAACACCGGTGGGTGGCTCGATCCGTACGCGCGCGAGAAAAGCTTCGGTGGACATAGTTGAGCAAGATTAGGTAAGCGAGAGAAGCAAGAAAGTTTCCAGATATAGCAGCAGTGGTGGCGTAGATCGGTCGGTTAGAGCAGAGCAGGGCTCATAACCTGTAGAAGTTTGTGGGGAAAGAAGATGATATTACGGGCGATCCGAGTAGCACTATAAATACATGTACTAGATAATAGCTATTGTACGTAGGATCCGAGAGAGAAAGCCAAGTGGCGTAATGGCCATTAAAAGGCCATTGTGTGAGTGCAAAACAAAGTGTCGTACCAAGCGCATTATACTACAACATATAGCGCGCCCGCTTGTCCTCGTCGGAGAGCGGAGTGCGTGCCGCGATAGCGTTGAAGTTCACTGTGTAGTCCTTGGCTGCGCCCAGCTTGTGCGATGCCTTGCACAGCTTGACGAGTTCGGAGAGTGCGGCCTTCTTGTTGTCGACCGCGCAGAAGTGGGCCTTGAAGGCCGTCTCGAAGGCATCCACGTTCGACCAAACGACCTTGCCGTCGGCGAGATCATTGATGTGGGGCCCAGCCCATCGAGCGGCGTCGTCCGTCAACTTGTTCAATACCATGATCCATGCGAGGTTGGCCGCGATCAACGAAGCTACCAGCTGCGTATGGTAAAGCTTGGCCATGGCAGCGAAGCAGAGCCCGGCCTGAGCTTCCTTGCCATCGTAGTCTCGGGGTGCGAGTTGGCTGAGAAGCTTGGAGTCGATGGCCGACATGGTGGGGGATATACTACGAGGGGATTGCACGCTTGATTCGGAGCGTGATGGGTTTCGTGGGGGTCTTGGGGGTGGTTCGGTGGTTTCCGGAGGTTCAAACGCACCTGAAGCTCGTTGTTCTAGACGATCGGTGACGAGCGAGATGGTGGTGTCGGGCGGGATACGAGATCCTCCGGCAGGAGATTCGGTTCGGGGAGAGCCGCCTGGGCTAGGGATACGGCTTGGGGCGCGGGTTGCTGAGCGACTGGGCTGTCTAGTCCCTGGTAGGCTGATGGACGCGAGTACAGCTGCTCGTAGCGGCCGTCCTGACTCAGTTGTCGTTGGGAGGGGAGTCGCTAAGCGAACCTGGATGAGCGCGCCTTGTTCCGCCTCAGGTCGTATGTGGTGTGGGAACTGGGACCAGTCGGTATCGCTGTCGTCCCCGTTGTCCAACCGGTGAGGGCAGGGTTGGCTCGGGCAGATGTGCCACCGCTGATAGTTGAGGTTGTAGTGTTGGTCTTCTACGGCGACAGGATGAAAGCCGTGGAAAAACGACATCTGGAAAAACAGCCTTTGCGAATTGACACTAATTATCACTATTCAGATAATCTCATCTATATTAGCAAGTGTTAGCAGAGATGACATCTACATTAGAGCTACTA